CAAGCTGAAGCTGCCCTTGTTCTTCCACTCCAAAAGGCTTTGCAAATTCTGGGGAGGTTTGAGGATCCTTGTGAGGGAGACAGGCCAGTGACCTTGGCCAGGGCCTCTTTGGGCCTCTGTACCCTCATCTATAACCAGGCGTCGTGATGCCCAGCCCACAGGTGTGGCATCTGCACATGCACATCTGTTAACAGCATCTCCATGTCCATGCCAGCTCCTGCCCGAGGTGGCCTTGTCTTCTCAGAGTAGGGGGGAGTCAAGACCACCAACAGCTGCCCTTCCTATCTGCCCTGCATTCTGGGGAGGGGGAACAGGCACCCTGTGGCTTGGAGGCCCCTCAACTACTGTCTGCCGCTGTTGAGGGGCCAGCCTGGGAGAGGAGCTGCAGCAAGTAAGAAGCAGCAGACACAGGAGGCAGCCTCAGCCGCAGCCTGACCGAGCACTAGCCTCCCTGGAGCCCCCCCAACACCCCCTGGTCTGTGCACAGTATGGGACTCATTTCCCAGGGGGGCCTTTGCCAGGGCTTGTCAGCTCTCTGCTGTGACTCCCGCTGTCTTGAGAGCCTGACAGGAAGCTGTGAGCAGCTACCAAGATGCAAAAAGCAGCAGACAGCAGAGTCATGTTTGCCTGCGGGCGTAGTGGTGAGCCTCGGGGGCTGCCAGGCAACCAAGAGACCAGGGTTGCTGCGGGCTGCCAGTCCCAGCAGGATATGTCTCCTGGACCCCGCAGGCCTGGAGTCCACCGTCCCCAACCAGAACGGTGTAGCTGTGGTGGCAGCACTCAGGGGAGGTGGCCCACTGTGAGATTTGATTTGGAAGGATAGGGGTGAGGACACTAAATGTAGGGGGAAGGGGGCCCAGCTTTGATTCCCCATTCTCTCCCGCTGAGCTGGAGAGCTGCACTCGGGGAAGAGAGGGCGTTTAAAAATAGCACGACTGACTTGAATACCTCTGCTCCCTGCCTGCTCCAAGTCAGATCCAATTACTCTGCTGACAAGAGGCTTTCAGCCCAGGGAAACCAGCAACCTCATTGCTACTCCAGGGGGCTGGATGCCATGATCCCTCAGCCCCTCCTCTTCCCAGTGGACACCCCAGGGTCTGGGAGAAAGGAAACCAAGAGAAACAGGGAGATCACATTCACTTATGACCCAGCCCCAGGCCAACATCTGGGCACATTCAGCTACTGGGTGAATCTACTTCCCTTCAACATCAACCCTTCCTTTTGCTCCCCCATGGAGAACACCCTAAATATCTCACCCAGGCCTGAGATCTACTAGGAGAGCCCTACCTTTTTGGAATATGAGGTTGTTTTCAAGATCTCCCAAGTGATATTGCCCAGATGGTTACTTGACCCCAGTTGGGGACACACGTAGAATGTTAACTCCATGAGGCGGGCTCTGCTGCTGGGGCCACTGCTGGCACATAGTAGCTGCTTCCCAAATGTGTGTGGAAATACATGGAGGGTCTTGGTAACCAAATGCAAATGGCTCCATGCAGCCTTTCTCAGCTGCAAGGGTGAGAAATCTAGGGCTCTGGAAGCTATTAATGATGGCCACATGACATCATCACATCAGCAAAGGCCAAGTGCAGGGGGCCCTAGGAAATTTTTTTGCCTTTCTCTCTCCAGCCAAAGCCTGCTGTTACTTTTCAGCAAACTTGGCCAACCCAAAGCAACTTACCAGTGACCCTTTGAAATACGAGAGCCAAAACTCTCTTGCAAGGTCTCACCCCATCTACTCTCCCTTCATTAAACTCTCTCTCCCTTCATTAAACTCTCAAAATATTGGATGCTCAGGGAATACAAACTAGAACGCTGTCATTGCAGAGGGAAGGAGTTGCCTGAATCTGTGCAGCATGCTTTGCCTGTCTTGTCTATGACGCGTGTCACTTTCTACCTTAGGACTTGTCATAAGGAGCCCTGTCTAGGCAGATGCCCCAGGGTGGAGACAGGAACCTGGTCATCTGCCACCCATGCGCAGCCAGCACCTGGCACACACTGGTACCCAAGAGATGTTTGGTTAATGATTGTGTGGGGTGGGGGGTAGAGAAGGAGGGGTCTGTAAACATTACAAAGGCACATGCAAAGAACCCAGGGATTACTTGCTGACCATCTTCATTAGTCTTGACAATCAAAGAAATGATGCCCAAAGCACCATTTGTGGGGGGGACACACACAGTACCTCCCTTCACCAGGTCTGTTTACACTTCCTTTGTGGCGATTTTCTTTTGTCTGTTTGTCAGTTAAGCTGATGGAAGGTTATTGAGCACAGCTTTGAGTGTTTCCAGGCATGGTTCCAGGGCCCAATCAAGGTCTAAGCCCTGCCAACACCTTTCAGGGGTGCAATCACCATCAAGTATCAGGAGCCTTGGTAAGAAAAGGAATCATAATCATTCAGCTGAAGCCTGAGTGGTGAGTTTGCCCTTCTCACTGCCTGCGGGGCTCTGACCTTCACCATCACACACAAGGCTGGTTGGCCTCCTTCGCCCCCTCCACCCTGGGGGAAGCCAGGTGTGTCTACAGAGGTTGGATTGATGACAGTTGCTGACATAGCCCAGAGAAGATGTTGAACACCTAGAACTCTCATTCATTTTCTCTCTCTCTCTCTCTCTCTCTCTCTCACTGGGGTAGGGGCTAGCTGGAGAGAAGGGAAACAAGACGTAAGGAAAGGAACAAGCACTTGGTGCCTTCGGAAATGGGAACAGCAACAAAGCAGGACCCTGCCACCTTGTAGCCGAGAGGTAGAAAGTGTATTGAGGGGCTCACCCGTCCACCACCCTCACCACTTGAGTGACAGGGCAGGGCCACAGCTTGGCAGTAGGATTATAATTTCGTACAACCACTGTGGTGAGCGATTTGGCACAGATGATGAAATCACCAGTGCATGACCCCTCACAGCTGGCAATTCCCTTGGCATCCTGCAGGTAATGCACGGCCCATAAAGGTAAAGTGACCAAGTGTGGCCTGTAAGTGCAAAATACAGGGAACAACCAAATGTCTGTCAATAGGGGAATGTGAGTTTAAGGAATACTGTGCAACCATGAGAAACAATGACCGTGATCTCCACATTGCCTTGAAGTAAAGAAAGTGAGGAGCCTGAAAATCCATCCCAATCCTTCATTTTGTAAATAGGGGGGCCAAGCCAGACACAGTGGAGAATGAGAAAGGCGCCCCCTGCTACTCAGAAGGTTGAGTGCTAGGACCCAGAGGTGGCTAGGATGCAGGCTACCTCCTTCCCAGCCCAGAGGCACCTCCAGTGCATTTCTACCTCCACCCTACTCAGATGTGGCCTGGAACCAGCCATGTCCCAGTCCTTAGTAACCCAGGGGCAGACCAGTCTTCCTCTGTCCAAGCTAAGCTGCTGTAATGGCATTGCTCTCATCCACGTCCTGCTCTGTCTTTGGCTAAACTAACGGAAATCTATCACCACCCATCACCTGAAGATGTGCCCCAAACCTCAAAGCACCCTCGAATCTTCTTCCTTCCCTCTATTGCAGAAGTTCACACCAGTTATACAGCACTTGCTTATTCCAGATCACAGTGGCTGCGCCGAGGACACCAGTCTGGATGGTCAAGACATCTCATATCACTGTGCCCTCTTTCCCCTCTTGAAGTGGAAAATAAACTTGCAGACTATCCCTTCTTTGGGCTCAGTGGAGGCATCAAAAGTCTTCTTGATCTAGGATAGGGAAACACACAGACCAGTGGGTCCACACCTTCAGACCTTGTTGTTCGAGGGCCCGCTGCAGATATGATGATGGCTGACTTCGCATGGCACCCACAGTGTGCCAGCACTGTCAATACTTCACCCACATTAACTCGTGAAATCCGAAGGATGACGTATTATCCTCACTTCTCCAATAAGTGAAACCCAAGCAGAGAGAGCAAGTAACCAGCCAGAGACAGACTTGAACTACAAGATGAATTTGGGGGCAGCCAGACAGTGAACTGGGAGCTGAGACTTGAACCAGAAACCTCAACAGGCAAGAAAGGTTGTGCAATGACTCGTAACTCAGAGGAATAGCCCCGACACGCTGAGCTCTGATTCCTTAGACAACAACTCATTCACACCCCTATGCTCCAGTGAGGCCACAGACCAAGGGATCTGCAGCGATTCCCAATAGGCATATGCATTCTAAAGATGACTTCAGATTGTTCCAGCAACCCACTAGTTTACAAAGTGTAATCAGGACCACGCTATAATGAACACCAGCTCCTAGATGCCATAAGTACCCTTTGTCCACACCCTCTTTGAGATGCCCACATCTCCCATGACACGTGTTCTCCAGGCTGCAGAAGGCTCAGGTGTGTCATGTTGTTTGGCTCCAGGGGTGTTCCAGGTGGTCTTGGCTGCTGGGCTTTACCAGGATGGAGCTGGAATCAGAGGCCACAACTCTGGGGCTGAATGAGACGTTCTGCAGTCTCCAGGCTGTCATCACAGCTACCACGAAGCAAGCTGACATCAGCCAGACCAGCCTGAGACCCACTCTGGCTCTGGGTAGGAAGGAGGTTGAGCCAAGAGATGGCCAGCAAGAGCTGCTCCTTGGCAAGCCCCACTCCACTCAATGGCTTCTTCACTGTTCCATAGAGCAGACCTAAGATTCCTCCTGCTCACCTTCCTCCTCGGAATCAGCTGTCCTCTTGGTCCCCCACTCCCTCTAACTCAGATGCCCCCAATTCACTTCTAACTCCAGGCCACCTCTCTGCCTCCCTGAGCTGCTTCCAGACCTCCTAACTTCCTGGGAGTTTTCCACCCACATCTCTCCAACATCTCCAGATATCACCCCAGATCGTTGCCCCAATCTGAAATATATCCCCTTCCCCAGCATGCACCTGTAAAGACTTCAAAGCTCAGCCCCCAACCATCTCCCCCAGGAAGGCTTCCCTGACCACCTCACTGGATCTTTGCCACCCGGGTTTCTAAGGCATTGTTCTCTGTGTTTCTCAAGTAGCAAGTCTCCCCAAGCACCGGTGGCCTTTGTGATGTAATTCTATGATGTCACCCAACTTTTTACCTGGGTAGGTAGATCTTGTCACCCCAAATGGAATGATGCTCCTTCCAAGCAGGAGTCACCTGATATGGCCCAAAGCACTAGCCCCATGCCAGCCCCCAACCAGTGCTTCCCTGCTCTTCTTTTAAAAACCCATCTATGAATAACTACTGTGATTCGTTTTCCCCGAAGCAAGCCCCTGCTGGAACCGCATGTCTGGAAATGACCGCTGCATTAGAAGAAATTAACCTTCAACTTCAAAAAAAAAAAAAAAAAAAAGGCCCAAACTGAACAAGACCTCATCTGCTCAGAGAGAAAATCTAGAAGGAAGTACTCCAACAGGTGAGCAGGGTCTGGTGGGTGATGGGATTAGGAATAATGTTTTCCAAATTTCTTGCTATATGGCTTTTATAATGAGGGTAGAAATAAAGCCAGATAGTAATAATAAAGACAAGACGAATCCAGGAGATGAAGGCAAGAAGAACTAATGCCCTTGGTAGGCCTCTCGGGTGGCCTGTCAGGAGACCGGTTAGCAGGAGGGAAGCTATACCTTCAAAAGACTGGGTGGGTCTGACCCTCAGCGCCGAGGGCAGAGCCGGTCTCCCACCCTGTGGGATGAAGCTCACGTGGGCCTTCAAAAGAGAGGCTTTTGCCCTGTCACTGATTCCTGGAACTTCAAAGAGGTCTCAAACATAGGGAATTCAAGACAAATCAAAGCAAACACAACTGGATGCGGTAGGATGCAGTTTATAGTCCTTTTTTTCCCCGAAGAAGAGGTAGAGGCAGAGGCGAAAGTCAGGTTGGAGAAGGTTTTAGATAACTCTTAAATAAAAGCTCCATAAATAGTCATTTTTAAAGGGAAACTAGGCTGTTCAAGGACAGAACAAGGGTGATGTCGGGAACGCCGGCTACTGGCTTCCCTCTGACTGTAGGACTAAACGGGCAGAGCCTGGAGTTGCCTGACCACACCCTCAATGCCCACTCCTGGCGCCAGCAGGACCCACCCTGGGTGGGGCAGCTTCCACTGAGACAGCACGATGTCCACGGGGCCCCACAACACAATATCTGGCCTCCTTGCTGTCAGTGGATCCTCAAACCTCAGGCCTATCACCAGTGTCTCTGTGGTCACAGCATGCTGAGAGACCCGGGCCCACACCTTGGTGATGTAGCTCCAACACACCTCCTCAGGGCAGTGACCCTGGGCTTGTCAGGTCAGCCTTGCTGGACAAGGAGCCAGAGAACTGGCTCGTTGAGTTCCAGCACTTTCTTCCACTCCAAGGACATCCTGGTTTCGTGTCTCCTGAAGTCCTGGATTTAAGAAGGACTGAGAGGCTTCAGTTCTTCAGAGAACAGGCTATCTAGTCAGCCATCCCCCGCATCAGTGGCAATTAGGGCTTAGGAGCCACGCCAAGTGTGGCCACCAGACTATGGAGACGTCACCCTAAGTGGGACATCATTCAGCAGCCACAGACCCAGGGGCTGAGAAGAGGCTGACTGTGAGCAGCAGGGGCTGTCAGTGAGTGGGAGTGGGTGACATGCCAGGTGCTTGTGTGCGTGAGTGAGCATAAGATGGTGCACAGTGTTGGAGGTGAGCATGGTGGGTGAGAGGTGTGTGCATGGTGGTGTGAGCTCATGAGTGAGGAAGGGAACAGAAACACTGCTTAACAAGATGATTCAAGAATGTGTGGTTAGGTGATTTCATTGTGATGTGAATGTCAAGAGACCCCTATGTTCTCTGTTATAAACCATTGTCCGGTGGCCCATGTATGTGTGGTCTATTGTTGACCGAGATGTTGCTAAACAGCTCACGACTGAACACACGTCTCTGTGAATGTGTATGCGTGCAAAAGTAGCCTCGTGGGTGAACAGGTGTATAAGGACAGCGTGTAGATATATATTGGTGAGTGTTACTATGTGCAAAGATGCACATGAGTGTGAATATATGTGAAGGGCGTATGTGAGTGTATATATGGGAGTGTGAGTGTGAATGTGTGAAAGGGTACACATGATGTGTATGTGTGTGAATGTATAAGAGGGGAGTGTACCTGTGATAAGGGTGTGAGTGTGTGACTATATGCCAGTGTGTGACAGGAGTGGAGGCATATGTCAGGGTGCACATGTGTGTGCATGTCTGCGTGTGCCTGTGTATACATGTGTGAGTGTATTGTGAAGGGAGTGTATAAGGGTGCACACATCTGTGCACACCCAGGGAGACTCTCACTGCAGGTGGAGAAAGGGAATGCTGGTTCTGCAGGGAGGTTTATCTCAGGGAAGTTCTCACCTACAAATAAATCTAGAAAACGGCTACCCAACAGCAGCAACCCCGTCTCTCCTGTCAGCCCCAGACATTAAGAAGCTCTTTACCTGAATGTCCCAAGTACACTTCTGACTCAATCTGCCCAAATCAAACATATTTCCCCTCCAATTTCCCCCACCAACTGCCTCATCCCTTGAGGGCTCATCTGGCCCTGGGGCCTGTGTCAGGACTCAGCCCTGGCACACTCCTTTGCACTCCCACCTTCACCCTGTCTGTCCTTTCTGTTGGCTGATCCTTCTTCGACCTGTTGTTTCCCCTGCCTCCTGCACCCTCTCCCAGCCTCCCACCACTGCTGCACCCTTCTGTTCAGCTGGGTCCACAGCTCTCATTTTCCTTGTCTGTCCCTGCCACCCTGTGCCCCTTACCACCCCCACCTCCTGTCTGGCCTCCAGGGACCTGCACCTTGGCATGCCAGCCCATCCTCTCCAGGGCTCTGTGGCTCCCAGAAGCTGTGCTGTCCACCTCTCTGGCCTCAGCACTGCTCTTATGAACATGGAGGGGCGGTTCCTCAGAAATGACAATTGCTGACCCTGAGATTAAAAAAGGTCTTCTAGGGGATGCTCAGTCCCTCAACTTCCCTGTGTCCCAGAGAGCAACAACCCAGTCTGCCACACTGTGCCCAGCAGAGGTGTGCAAAAAGAGCCAATTCATGTCAGGAATCGGATCCTGCATAAGGAGCAATTCTGTGTTGACCCTCAAGCCCCCCAGATGGGTTTGCATATTGTACTTGCTTTAGGTGTAGCTCAGTTCTGAACAGTGGAGAGAATGCAGACTTTGAAGCTAAATGGGGCCAGATGTGCATTCAGCACCAATCACACAGCCACGCCTCTGCCTGGCCCCGAGCACTTCACTTAACTTGTCTGAGCTCTGCACCCTTAGTTTCTCCTACTCAAAAGTGGAGAGAATGATTGTGCTTCATCAGGTCTGGTGAGGGTGAAGGCATCATGAATACCCCAAGCATACAAAATAAGGGCATAATACTTGTTTCCTCCTGTCCCCCTTCCTCCTGCCCTTGACCTACATCCATCCAATTACTTAGTGAGAAGTCATTAGATTATGTTAAAATGAGTAAGAGAGCCGTCCAGCACATTCGCTGAAGCCACAGCCACTCGGATGTTGAATGACAGTGGAGCCCAGGAAAGAACCCATTGTGACCCGAGGCTGCTGAGCAATTTCTCAGGAATCAAGAAGCACAGCAGAGGGATGGACATTTCCGACTGCACATTGTGTTTAAATTTTCCTTCCAGGAAAAGAGACAAAACCTGGAGACTTTAAATTGGGATATAAAACATCTTGATAATTTTTGTGGATTTTAAAATGGCTTGTGATCCCTGAGACAGGGAAAGGGAGGTATGAGAGGTGACTGATGATCACCGGGGGCCAGTAGAGTTCCCCAAAGAAGGAGCTTTTGTGGAGAGGTTACCGAGACTGGGAGATGAAGAACACTAGTGCAATGGACCTGATTTCCACCAGGCGCCTGGCACGCTGCAGGAGGAAGCATTAGCTGCAGTCGCTGAAATGAATGAATCAGACAATTGAAGAAGACTGTTATGAAATGTTTGTAGATAAAAATGAGAAGTGTCGTCTGGGTAAGAGACACCACACCGAGGTGATATGACAGACTATACGTGGCCCCACGGGTGTTGGTTAATGCCAACCTCCAGGAAGTGGGGGAGGGAGGCACGGCAGGACAGGGGCAGGCTCCGAGACACACACTAGATGTCTGTGCTCAGCCTTCACCAAGTCCGCATTTCCCCCAGTTATTTGATTAAAAATCTACACTCAGGCTCATCAGGTTTGAAAACATTCTAATCCAAGAGGGATAGACTTTTTTCTGGGTGACAGACTCTAGCTTCCATGAGATTCCAGTAGCCTAGAAGCGTGGACAAACCAGCATGATGAGATCTCACCAGCAATCTCGATAAGCCAAGGGTTAGTTCAAAACCTCTGTCTAAGGGCTGGAGGGGCGGTGAGGGCATTTCAGTGGGTGTGGGCTGCAGGTTTTGAGTGTAACCAGTTCAAGAGGAAACACGGGACAAGACTGGTATGGCCAACGCAGTATTAACATCATGGATTTGAGACCAGAGGAGGTGCTGTCCAGCACCTTGAAATACCAGGAGGGTTCAGGGCAGGTGGGAGTGCTGAGACCTGTCTTGAACTCAGGACAGGAAGGCTGTCCCTTGGCCAGGGGAACACAGAATTCTATACAGCTCAAAAGGGTGGTGCTTGGGATTTGCAGTTAGTAGGGGAAAAAAAAAAATAATACAGATACGTTTGAATATCAGATAAATAACAAATAATTTTTTAGTGTATGTCCACATACTATTTGGGACATACTTATATGAAACAAAGAACAATGCATTCATTGTTTACCTATGATTCTAAATTAATTGAGCATCATGTATTTCATTTTGCAACCCTAGTGTAGCTGGGGTTGGAGAGTAAAATTTAGAAGAAGGCAGGTTTTAATTCAATATAGAATTATAACAGCCCATAGCATATATAGTTTGTGCTTAATAGTAGCTAATCTAATAAATGGTGCAGAGAAGTTAACCAAGAGAGAATATATGTGTTCACAGGTATACCCATATGTCAAAACTCAGCAAATTGTACACTGAAAATATGTGCATGAATTATACCTCAATAAATCTTTTTTATCTTTTAATGGAGGAGTGGATTGCTGCACAAACAATATAAGATGTTTCCCAGAGAACCTTCTGTCCAAGTCCTCTTGTTGGGTAGCCAGGAGAGGTTTTCTGAGGTTATATCAGATTTGTAGCTTCCAATTTCTTTTCTGTGTAAATAGGTCTTCCTCAGAGTCCCCTGTACAAAGTAGATAAAAACTGGTAGCACCCACCACAGTGGAGGAGATGTTGTCAGCTGGATGCCTGGACCCCCTGTCTGGGGCCATAGGAAGAGACTTGTCCAGGCCTCCTCAACGCCAAGGCCCCAGGATACCAGGAAGCTCCACGGAGAGGTTAGTGCTACCAGGGCTGTTGTGATGGTTTGGGTTCACCTAAAGAGCAGCCTAAAGGTGGCTAGTATTTGTTAGAGAGGGTTTAGAGGAAAGGTTGAGGGCAGAATGAGGCCAGCACCCTAGTTGTATGTGTTCCTTCACCCTGGCCTTTGTCCTGGATATATTCCAAGCCCAGCTCCAAGTAGTGACCATGGGTATGTCAGTCTGTCAAGAAGAGGGCAAGGGGTTTGCTAAGGTCCTTTAGCTCCCTCATGCTCTTGAATTCATTGTAGATTTTAAATACAAGGAGACTTCATTCTCCATTGAATGACTGAAATTTCTGAAGCATTCCACAATAAGAAAAAAAATGTCCTTGAATGCCATGCCTTGGTTGAAGAAAAGGTAGGTGGATGAAATGGTGTGAGACACCCTCTGACTTGAGTGTGATTTGGTCTGGGGGTCTGCGGAGTGTGGGATGGCTGCCCCAAGCTAGTGTGGCAGGTGAAATTGCTCCCTGGGATATGGACCCACGTCCCCAGGTGCCCTCTCTCAGATAGGCCCTGGTGGAACAGGCTTTGCCCTCACCTCTGAGCAGAACCCAGCAGGATGCTGAGGACCCAGGGCCAGGTCTGTGCCATCGCCACCACTCCAGGTTCCCAGCTCATGTCCCATGCCTGGGACTCACAGCCTGGCACATCTCACCCTCACGGTCCTGTGGGCAGGTGGGGCCTCCCGGAATTTTCAGTATGAGGTTTTGCTTTGATGATGGTGGTCTTGGCCTCTTGCAGCTTCAGCTTCCCACCAGCTTCCTGTCCACCAGCCCATCTGCACTCCCCAGTAAGTCCAAAGGGAGGGAGTTCTAAGTGCCCCAAGAGCCCTCATCCTGAGCCCCTTACCTGCATATTTTATTCTAACAGAAGACCTAGGAAGCAACCATGCAAAGGGTGGGAGAGCAGGATTTAGTCCTCAGAAGCCCCATGACAGGGCTGCCGAAAAGTGGGCACAATTTGCAACGTGTTCAGACCCAAGGAGACAGCAGGACATCTAGTCCCATGCCCAGGGCACAGAGGTGCACCAGGGAGTGTCCTGAGCAGCCAGGGGCCTGTGAGATCAGGGGGAGTTCCGATGGCCTAGTAGTGACATCATAAGGAGATGCTGACCCCTGATTTTCTTTCTCTACCCCTCAAAGCATTTTACATGGAAACAGAGGCAGGTCACACAATCTTACAAACTGCTCATTAGTGGACTGAGGGCCTCTGCGTGAGTCAGGGAGGACAAGGGCTGTAACACCGCTTTTTTTTTTTCATTTAATTGTTTGCTAACATTGATAGATGAAGAATTTATGAACTATGTCAGGTTGAGTAGAATGCCCTGTAGTTTCGGAATTTATTTTTTTCCCCACCACCATCCTTTATATCGCCTGCCACTTTCTCTCTCCCGCCCTCCTCAGAAATGTCACTTCATGGATTAATTTAATAATGTCATATCTATTTCTAGGAAACTCCTGGGTTCGCAGTCCTCCTGGACACAGAGAATCAGTGCCCTGACCTTTGATGCAGAAACTAGCCAAAGCCAAATACAAGCCAGCACCCACAGACTGCCCGCTGTCAGAATAAGAGGCTCCAGGACAGGAGGTGGAGAGAGATAAACAGGGTGGGCGGGGGTGGGTCAGAAGGTTCCACCCATTCTTAAAAGCCAAGGAGAGCAGGACACCCTGAGCATTAGGAGTGAAACCAGGTGAAGGGAGAGAGAAGGAGAGAGGGCCCTGCCTGTGGCTGCCCGAGAGCAGAGTCCAGCCCTCCCCAAGATCAGAACCACCACCCCACATATGTGTCCCATATGGTGACTAGATACTGGTGACATGTCTCATTTGAGATGGGGATCTGAGGAGGAAAGACAGAAGCCAGAGGGAGAAAGGACAGTAAGCTCTCCACCCCACCCCGGTCCCCCTCCCTGCCCAGGAGTGCTGAGAGGCCAATATTTGGCCTCGCCTGTCACTAAGACCAGATCGGAGGTGGCAGCAGCTTCAAGGCACAGGTCCCAAAGTGCCGGGACTGGACTCGGTGAGCTTGGTTCAACAGCAGGAGGCTGTGATGGGCACCAGCAATTCAAGGCTTGTCAGCACCACAGGGTCACCCCAGCCCAAACCCTCCTCTTCAAACTTCCCCCAAGCTCCCTCCTTGTGCCCCTCAAGTCCCTGAAGTCCCAGCCACACCACCTGACACTCCATGGGACACAGTCCACATTGCTGATCAGTTGTCTCACCTCTGCCAGATTTGTGTCCTAACCAGTGATGGGCACCTTGGGGTCGAACGGCTGAGTTTCTAGGCCTGGCCTGCCCACAGCTTGCGGCAAGGTCTCAGGCCTCCTGATGCTCACTTGACATTTAACACCTTGTCTCCTCATATCTGTTGTCCCTCTACCTGCCTCCTTCTTCCCACCCTGACGCCTCCCACACCCCTCTACTCTGCACACACACACCTTCCACACACACACATCCTTCAACACACCCTCCACATACACAACCCCTTCACACACCACATAGACTCCACACACACCCCCTCCAAACACACACAAATACTCTCTACACACACACCCTACACACAAAACACATACACACCCTACATACCACAAATACACTTTCTCTACACACACATTCCACACACCACAAACGCTCTCCACAACCTACCCCTGACTTACATGATCTACACAGTGACCTTTGTTCTCTCACCACTGAGAACACTCACACATCTGCCTGGTATTTCGTACCTGGGTGGAATCTCCTACCCCCAGACCCCTTTCCTGACCTTAGGAAAGGCTGAAGGGGATGAGAGAGAGGAATGCTACCTAATTGGAGCTCTTTCTCCTCCTCCAGGCCAGAGGGCAGGACGAAGGGACGCCTCCAGCACGGAGCCCATTGGCCAACATGAAGCTGACTCCTGGCAGAAGGCAGCTTCCTGTTTCTAAGAAACTGGGCCTTTGACAGCCTTCTCTCGTGGGGCCACCCTTACACAGACAGCATTGTGGTGAATCTCAAGCACTGTCTCAGATTTCCCTTCCAGGCGCTCCGGCTTTCAAAGGAAAAAGGAAGTCAGCAGGCTGCTGAGACACCCGCTGGATTTGGTGAAACTGAGCCAGTTGGAAAATCAGCAGAAAATCCACCCAACCCACATGGTGCCAAGAACTTGAGAAGAGTTTCCAGAGACCCAGCCTCCCCTGCGCGCTATCTTAGATAGCCCAGGGCGATGCGATACAGGTGTGGTTTGCAAGGCCAGCACTGCCACCGCTGCCGGTCTCCTTCTCTGAAGTCACTCATGGACCACACCTGACCTTGGGTTTGGGGCCCTAACAACCAGGCTGAAAAATGAACAATTTTCTGACTCTTGGATTAAGAGATCAACAGACAATAGGCACTTAACAAAGACCACTGAATTCAACTTACTTTGAATTCCAGTTATTAAGTGAATTTAGTTCATATTTAACAACTGTTAGCTGAGGACCTACTTGGTACCAGGCTCATGTTAGGTTCTCAGGACTCAAGGATGAACAAGGTCTATACCCTCAAGCGAATCTCCATCCTGAGAGGTGACACGTGACCTGCTCTGTCTCCAGGCAGCTGGAATCTCTCTGCAGATGTCTGAATCTACTAACCTTCCCCTTCTCTCACTCACTGATGGGACCTGGGCTTCCAGTGGCTAAGCCAGAGGCCAAAGAAAAATGACCTCAGTTGTGCCCTCCTTGTCTCTATTCCTTACAATGTGGCTTTGCAGCTACCTCTCTTAAGAGGCAGAATCTGCTTCCCCACCCTTAAACCTAGGCTGGCTTTGTGACTGGTGTCGGCCAATAGAATGAGGCAGAAGGGACCATCCAGTGCCAAGTGCTTTTGCGAATTTCCTCTCTCTGTGTGTCTCTCAGCATCATGCAAGCCCATCTAACCTGCCAGACATTGAGACCACAGAGAGCAAAGCCAAGTCCAGCCAGTTGTCCTGCCCCAGCCAAGACCAGCAAAAACACACGGACACAAGTGAACCCCTGAGCCTACACAAGTCCAGACCACACTATCTGGCTTTCCTGGAGCTTCGTTAATGATCCTGATTTTCCATCACTGGGTGTTGGTGACTTGTTTTGCAACGTGATCATCACACTAGACTTCAACGCAACTGCCAGCACCAGTCAACCTACAGTCAGCCCACAGAAGGACAGCGGGTTTACCTCTCGGCTGCTTCGTCCCCTCTCCACCTGGCCGGGAGAGCCTCTGAAGGAAGCGAGTTCTCAGTTGGGACCCTGACTTGAACATGTCTGCCAAGCCCCAGCTGGGCATTTTCCCAGGAGAACGCCAGCTGAGATCCTGGGCTTCCTGGAGCCTCAGAGAGCTAATGAGAGCTCATCCTCTGCAGCAGGAGGTGTGGTGAGAATCATGGACTCTGGGGCCAGATACACTGGGGAAGTGAGCCCTGGCTCTGGCCCTTTCTAAGTACAGGTATGTGACCTGACTCACTCAGCCTCAGCAAATGCACCTGGGAAGTGGGGCTGGTAATGAAGTTGCTCCCTCAAAGGCCTTCTGTGAAGCTTACATGATGTGTATAAAACAGCAGTTCTCAAGTGGGAGCAATTTAGCCCCTGGGGGACAGTTGGTAATATCTGAAAGCAATTTGGCTTGTCACAGTGGTGGGCAGGGAGGGGGATATACTGCCACTGGCATCTAGTGGGGAGAGACCAGGGACTGCAAAGCATTCTACAACACACGGAATAGCCTCCACAATAACGGATTTTACAGCCCAAAATACCAATTCAGAGAAACCCTGAATTCTTTGTCCGGAGCCCCTGGCACTCAGCAAGTGGCAGAGATGGCCACACAGCCCTCCGGAAAAATGGCACCCAAGGTGCCAAGGTACCTCCCTTTCTGGGAGATTCAGGTCAAAGCAGCAATAGTGAACTGGGTGCTGACCGTAACCTTTGAGCCCATCTACCAGCTAGGGCTATAAAATGGGAGTGCAGGTTGTCCAAACTGATTTTAGATGTGAACTTGGCTTCCAACTGGGAATAGATTATATGACTTTCTGAGTTTCTGGCAGCTAAGAATTTATGACCGAAAAGTGGTCATCCCAAGTGAGGCTTTCATGGGTTTTACAGCATGCTTGGAGCAAAGCCTCACATTATAAAAGTGCACATTAATTGAATGTTGCAAGTTCACAGACTTATCCTGCATCTTCTACTAGGGTCTCTGTTTTCAAAGATTTAGCCTATAATAAAATGCACTGGGACCTTCCTTTGTTGATTCTGAAGGCCATTGGCCCCTGCAGAAACAACCAGGGTGGGGGCCCATCATCAGGACCCACGTTGACATTGTGCAGTGCTGGAGGTGTGAAGGGCAAGCTCAGGGTTCTTTGGATTTAAGGTAAGCTGTGGAGGGACTTATTAGAGCCAAATTGGAAGTAAGTAGGAAAAAAACTCACCAGGGTCATTAGAATATTATGAATATTCTTCAATCTGCTGAAACTGCACTCTGTTTGATCAACCTGGGTCTCAGCAGAAACCTCCCCTGTAGCTGTGTGAGCAGAGAGGAGCTGAGAGCTAAATGAGAGGGTGGAGGAGGGCAGGGGCACATGGAGACTCAGGACCCACAGAACCAAGTCTCTGAGGACCACTTGGGTATCAGCCCAAGACTGTGGAGGGAGGGAGGTGTGGCAGTGAGCATTCCAAGGTCAGAGGCACCTGGCAGGCTAGAGCGAGGGAGCGCTCCCAGCTTTGGATAGTGAGCTGGTGTCAGAGCTGGGACACAGATTCAACTTGGAATGCCCAGACCAGGGCTCTTCCTGTCTCTCAGAAGGAGCACCTTCCATGGTGAAAATGGGACATGCACTTGATTTCTTCAGGTTCATGTCTTTGCCCTATTTAAGTCTGTCCTCCTGTAGGAGGCCCCCATCTGTCTCACCATCCCTAGTCTGTCTCAGTTGTCCCTGTGTGAGAAGGTTCTAGAGGAAGGGAATTACTGAGACCATGGTTTGTAGCTGGGGCTGCACCTTTCAAGGATAGCAGGAAGGTAAAGAGAAAGTTTGAGACCCGTAAGACCAGCTCTCACTGCTTCCCATAATGCCAGCAGCCAGCCCCCTCCACTCAGGAGCAGCTAGATGCCTGCCAGCACTAGTTCCTTACTTCTTCTGAGCCTCGTCAGCCAAGATGCCTGAGGGTTGAGTAACTGCACAGCTATTAAGCAATGGAGACAGCTTTGAACCCAGCTCTGTCTGACTCCAGAGCCCAGCTGACAAGATGAGTTCTCATGACCTCCAGGCTCTCCAAGCTCTGAGTTTTTTCAACTCACTGCATGGTCTGTCTCCCCATGGCTTCTGCAGAATAGCCACTAGGGAAATTGCTCCCCTGGGGAGGGAGACTTTAGCATGTGGACAACATTTCGAGATTTGAGAAGCATTTGTGAGTGAGGGGACCACAGGTTGAGGACTGACACTATGATGCGTTAAGGGCGAACGTGAAGGGCCAACTGCAGTCCTGCCAGGAGCAGAGAAGTGGGGATCGCGAAGGGCAGGGCCAAGGGTTAGTGGGGAAAGATGACTTAGCTGGATGCTGTCAGGATGAAACCAGGCGGATATCCTCTTGACAAATATTAGATTCATAATGCAGTGCCCTTTCCTGGCGCTGTTTTTAAATACAACAACTCTGACTAGTGGAAAATCTGAATTTGTGAAGCCAGTACAGCAGAACAGGGCTCCCCGTGTTGTCAAGGGACTGCTCCTGCATTGGGTGACTGTACAGTGAGTCCCCAGACCCTGGGTCTCTGACCAGTGGCCTGGGAAGCCTTGTGGACTTCCACTAAGATCCGCTTGTGTTTCCAGGTTTGGAGCAGGACCCAGAGGGAGGCAGGACCTGAGTCCCTCCCTAAAGGTCAAACTGCATCTGATTGCAGTTTCTTGCCTCCTACCCCCACCCCCACCCTGGGGGCTCAGTCCTAATCCTTGGCTGTGTGCCTGCAGGACACAACAAAGGATTGAATCAAAGGCCCTGGCCCCAGAAGGTAGAGAGTGACAAGCTAGGGACAGTGTCCCAGTCAGTCCTGGGCTGACTCAGCACCCACCAGCCTTGACCTCACTCTGTGATCTTCCCCGTGGCATGACTGTCATCCACACCTGGACTCCCACAGCAGCCTCTGCTGAGGCCAGGTGCATGGAATCGGCAGCACAGGGGCACTAAGGGAGCATCACAGATGCCAGCGTGGCTCTCAAGGGCTGGCAAACAATGATCTCTGAATATTGTCCTCTCCTCCAGGTATGACAAGCAACTGCAGGAGGGTTTTAACCTAGGAGAGCTTATGGGGACACATAGGACCTTTCCAGACAGCAGAAATTGCCAAGTGCCCCATAGAGTTTGCAGGAAGGAGAGGGGTCAGCATGGGCTGGGATAATGCAAGCATCTGTAGGGGAGAGGATGGCTGACTGAAGGCCACAGAAGGTGGGGGTGAGAGAGGGAGAAGCATGGAGGGGGAGTGAGCACCAGTGGGCTTAAGTGTGAGGTGTGCGTGTGAGTACTTGTGTATGTGCGCGCATGCAGTATCTTGTGGTGTCTTCGATTGTGTGAAGTGTGTGTTGTGTGTGTGGTATCTGGTGTTTGCATGTGCTGTGCATGTGTGTGCACTATGTGTGTCATGTTAGCATGTGTGTATGGAGTATTGTAGGATGTGTATGCTGTGTTTTGGGGAGTGCAGTAGGCATATGTATTGTGTGTGTGATATCTACGTGCTGTATGTTGTGTGTGTGTGTGTGTGTGTGTATGTGTGTAATGAGGGCCAGACATGGGCAGGGGTGGTGAGCAGAGTCTGGAGATTGGCACGTTTTAAGGTCTTCACACCATGCAGCCTATAAAGAGCCCAGGTGACCGCTTGTCAGTGATGTATGAATTTACTGTAACAGACCAGGCACAACAGCCTGGGTGGCTGTGCCAAGCTCTCCTATCCCTGCCCAGGGCCTGCCTCAGGGGGCCCCCAGAGCAGAGTTAAGGAAGCAAAGGGCACAGCCAACACACGTGACAAATGAGGACACTCATTTGATGAGGGTGGAATAACGGCGATCACATCTGTATTGTCATCTGCACATTGGCTGAGAGCACACAATGAGCTAGTCCCCCTGAGTCAAGCCCCTATTCTCCTGACAACTGGAAAGAACTCTAATGTCATTCAGGCCTGACAGGTAGAGAGACTCAGCAGAGTGCTTAAAAGACTCAACACACGTTGGTGAAAACACTGAGTGAGAACCTTAATCTCCCTGCTAAAGACTAAATGAGATAACTCATGAGAAATATAGCCCATGGGGAAGTGCTCAGTTAAGAGTAAGCTAGAAAGGAAGACGAGCTGGCCCCATTTATGAAGCCATGACTGGTGCCATTATGTTTTTAGCCCTAGGATGCAGGAAGGCTCACAGCCACCCAGCTGGCAAGAGCAGGGCCTGATCCAACCCAGCCTGTTTCAGATTTTTCCATTGAGCTTATGACTTTCAAGAATTTCAGGGATTACTCAGAAAGGGTGGCGGTGCAAGTCAATAAAAATCTCTTTCGGTAGAATCTTCTCTCCCAGTCACTGAGTTTCCTAAACGATTTGTATTCATTAGCTCACTTGCTGTTTTTTTTTTTTTTTTTAAGATATATTTATTTATGCACACAAGAGCTGGGATACAGCCCAGAGGTGTGGGGGGTGAGAGGATTCACCAGAGACAGACTGGGGAACAGAACAGGCAGATTGACTGAAATACATTGAGGGGAGCAGCGGGTGAGACAGGAGAGGTCTGCTGCGCCATATAGGTAGCTCCCTGGCCCGGGATTGAACTCTTGCTGCAGTGGCTGCGGATAGCTTCATAGTGCTGCATCTTAACCCCTTGCACCACCAGGGAGGCCCTCGTTAGCTCATTTGATACCCACACCCCTATGAGGCCTTCCCATCCCCATTCTACAAAGGAGGAAAATGAGCCACCAAGACAATGGCTCATGAGTGGTGCAAGATGAAGCTGAGCCCAGACCAGTGTGGGATTCTGAGCTCCATTTTCCTTTGTCTCTCCTTTGACTTAGATCCCACATATAAGTGCTCATGAATGGGGACTGATAGGCTCATTATCCTAGAGAGAAAACAAAAAAGAAACTGGCCTGCTTCCATCACTTAGATGGGTCAGTGTCTGTTTCACAGGGAGTCGTAAGCCCACAAGCTTTGAGTTCCATGGACAATGGTTATATGCGCCAGGGCGCCTGCGAAGACAGCATGCCACCTGCAGACACAGAGCAGTGACCCATCTTCAACACCCTTCGGTGCCATCAGATCATGGATGGCTGATGGTGTGTGTTTCCTGAGAGCCCTACCCCCTGGCTTAATGTTCCACAAGCCCCGCACCTGCACCAACTCCACCCAGGAGATGGGGGAAGGAGGAAGAGAGAGTATCAGGGTCTGGATATGTTAGGTGGGCTGTGCCATTTAACCATGGCCCAGAGAGATGGCAGGGAAGGGACTTAAATGGATGGGGAAGAGGAGCAGGACTTTCTGCACAAGGGTCAGCACAGCCTGACTTGCTCCAACGGGAAGAGTCACAGGCAGTGGGGCAGGAAAGGAGCAGAAAGAGGAACCCCCTCTCCCTGCCTCCTGGAAGCTCAGCAGGGGCCAGAGAAGCTTCTGTGGTTTCTGAAGACCCAGGAGAGAAGCAGGGAACAGAGCAGCAGCCATTGCTTAGAAAGGGTTGTTTGCATCTGGTCTGAAGGAAATCTAAGAACCCAAGAAAGGTCCCTGGGTGAGCCAAGCCCTGCAGTCTGGAAGGCGACGTCTGGAGGGGCTTTGGCGGGTGTGATAATCCAGTTCCTATGGTTGCCTTGACGGCAGGTGACTCCGGACCAGGACTGGGAGACTGTGCCTGCCTCTGTCCGTTTGGACCTCTTGCTCCCTCCTTCCCTTCCTCCTGCAAAAACCAGGGGCTTGAACCAGGTGACTCTGACATGCTTTGTTTCCTGTGATATCATGTGTCGGTCCCTGGGGGACTTTATCCGGTGTTTAGAACTTACGGTGATGTTTCATTTATTAGCTTTGTTGAGAAAGATTCACGTAAATGAATTTTCCCCATAACAGAAACTTACCCATTTAATCGCTGTCATTTAGTATGGAACCTTTCTACACTACTTCCTGGGCTCCTAAAAACACGGACTAAATACAACACATCCTTCCCTGCTACCTTGTGGACGTAACTACCTAGTGGTGAGTGTGACGTGGGCTAACCACGTACACACTCCCGTCT